TCATGTTAATGAGGGTGCTGCAGCTTTGTTCACCTAGAAGCCAAAGGAGCCAGTGTCCCCTTCCCCACTGGTGGTGACTCTTGCTACTCTTGACAGCTGCTTTTTGTTTTCTTTTTTTGTCTCTGGTGGAGATGCAGGTCTTCACTGGTTGCTGTGTGTTCTCTAAGTCCCACCGATTGGAGGTCTGTGACCTTCCTAATGCCTGCAGGCACTGTTTCTTCACAGGGAGTCTATAATGCCCAGAGCTGAAATCCTCATTGTCAGCTCTTGAGGGTAGGGAACTTGGAATCACCATTCATGAATCTCCTCCATACTTGACATGTTCATTTATTGATTCATTCACCTTTGGAATATTTACTAGGCAGGAATAATGTCCTTTTCTTTGATATGTAGATATGGGGCTAAAAAGTGGTACACTGTGGCTCCCCAATATACATGTGTGAACTTGAATTAGACTCAGGGACTCCCAGGGAAGTGAAAGCACCATCAAGTGATAGAAAGTGTGATGAGGAGCCATCCGTGTCAGCTGCTTCCTAATAAAGGGCTTATTTTCAAAGAAGAGAGCTGGGCTCCCTAGGCAGTTTCCATTAGGGTCACCGGAAACCTCACGGAAGGCTTTGTTCTTTTAAAAGTCATTGGGCAAATTCACAGACACATTGAATAGTTTTCCTTCTCCCTTTTGACACCACAAAGACCAATGGAGGAAGCAGAGATGCCCTAGTTCCTTTTTCCAGGCAAGCCACAGGGCTGACAGCGACAGCCTGAAGTGTTTGTGGCTACAAGGGAATACATGTTGAGCTTAAAGAGTGGGCATGAGACTGAAAAATGCCTCTTTGGGCCCAAGAGGTGGGAAATTGGCAGCATCCATAAGGATAGAGACATCTGCCCACTTGTGGCTGAGACACTACTTGGCCCCCAGCATCCATCCCCCTTCTTCCTGTGGGTAGCAGATCCCCCTCAAGTTTTGGTATAGCACACACATCTAGCAAGACCTTCTAATTCCCAGGCCTCCTTGTGGCTAGGAAGGCCCGAAGGATTGAGCAAATGTGGGTGAGGAGCAATTCCTGAAGGGTGCGCTTAAACAGCAGAACAAGCCCCACACTGACACTTTCTCTCCTATCCTGCATAATGAGGGAGACTTTGAGCCAGCCATGGACATGCATACAAGGGTCGTGGCAAAAAGAAATGCAGAGAGAAACAGACAGAACCCGGGTCAGTGCACAACCTCAAGGAGTGGACTGTGTCTCTTTCTACCAGCTCTGACTTTTCCATGAGAGTGAACTAAACCCTCCCTCTTGTTTAGTCTCTCCTTGGCCTTGATTAGAATGCTGCAAGCAACTATGGCACATCCATCTCTTGACCAAGGCAACAAGACTCTGAGCTGCTTTTTCTGCTAGAATAAGATAATAGAAGCAGCTTGCTGGTTTCCCAGTGTACCCCAAAGAAATGCTTTTCGTTCCTCCCATTTGTTGTTCCAGGCTGCTCCTTGAAGGCTCCCTGCAATTCAAGCAGTGTGTCCTAAATCTCTCAGTCCTCTTAGAATCTTGAGGTGAGGACTGGGGATTCAGCTCTGCAGCAGAGAGCTGGCTTGATCCTTAGCATCAAAAAACAAATAAACAAATAATCTCTCTCTCTCTCTCTCTCTCTCTCTCTCTTTTTTTTTTTTTTTTGGTATTGAGGATTGAACCAAGGGGTGCTTAATCCCTAGCCCTTTAAATTTTTTTATTAAAACAGATACAACATTTTTTTAATATATTTTTATGTGGTGCTGAGGATCGAACCTAGTGCCTCAGGCATGCTAGGTAAGTGCTCTACCTCTAAGCCACAACCCCAGCCCCTAGATACAACATTTTTTATACCTTTATTTTATTTATTCATTTTTATGTGGTGCTGAGGATCAAACCGGTACCTTGCACATGCTAGGCAAGCGCTCCACCACTGAGCCACAACCACAGCACCCCCAGCCCTTTTTATTTGATATTTTAAAGCAGGGTCTCCCTACATTACTTTTAAGGCTTTGATAAGTTGCTGAAGCTCATGATCCTCCTGCCTCAGACTCCTAAGCTGCTGGGATTACAGGCATGTGCCACTATGACCAGCTGGAAAAAATAAAAGACAAAACAAACAAACAAACAAAAAACAATCTTGGAGCAGTTCTGCTGCATTTTAAGGAGCTATGCAGAGCTGGAAAGACTTGCCTTGTTTAACAAGCCTCCAGGTGACGCTGATGTGTGAAGTTTGAGAACCAGTGACCCAGGAAAAAAGAATTGAAAATTCATTCTTTTCTTGAACTCTGTGGGTGGGGTGGAGTAGTGGAAAGGAAAGTTTTATACTTAAACTTTGAGTGATTTCTTCAGCCTTCTCTGATTTGGATGTTGTTGATTTACTTTGTTTTGTGAAAACTTGCAAGTATAGTACTCTCACCAAGTCCAAGCCTCATGCTATTCTCACTGGAGGTGGCACTGACTTCCTGCTTATAATTAACCATGAAGATCACTACTTAATTTGGAGTAGGCGAAAAAAATCCTGACAATTAGCCTTAAGACTTATGGGGGAAGAAACTGATCCTAAAATAGTCAAGTTCCTTAACACACCCTCCTTTTTTTTTTCTTCAAAGACTTGAAATTCTCTTTAAACATAGCATTTATCATTCAGGACAGGAAAATGCCTTCTTTAACTTTCTGCAGTGATATTTCATTGCATTAGAGACTGAATAACCTTTATGGAACCCAGCCGGAGCCTGCTCTGCTGTCATGAGACAGGAAATCTGTTCTGACTGACTTGGTCATTTGCTTAGTTTTGGCCACATTCTGTACCGCCTAAAACCTCCACTGCACTTGGTCAAGACCTTGGAAGCTTGTCAGTATTCACATTCTGCATATGTGATTTACGATATAGAAGATCTGAAGAGTGCTTTTCCCTGGCTAGTGTCACTCTGCTTTGAAAATGGAGGTGACAGGAGCCTCATGTTAGCAGAGACCTTGCTTAAAAGCTTGACCAAACCCAGGGTTCAGGCTGCTATAATATATTATTGCTTGACATACAGAAACAGTGAGACCTTTTAAAAATTAGTATAAAATTATTTTTTGAATAGGACATTAACAGAAAGAAATGGTAAAAGATGTAGACAGAAAAAGATCAAGTTTAGGCCTAGCAATCGTGAGGCCCTGGCTTCAATCCCCAGTACCACCACCCAAAATGCGAAAAGTTGGGCTGGGGTTGTGACTCAGTGGCAGAGTGCTTACCTAGCATGTGTGAAGCACTGGGTTGGATTCTCCGTCCATTGACAACAAAAAAAAATATTTAAAAAAAAGTGCAAAATGTTTTAGGTGAAATTTAAAATCTGTGATTTAGTACATTTCTCTCTAGAGTTCTCTTAAGGTCTCTCTCTTTTACCTCATAGGATCCACAGGAGATAGGAAGAACCATGGTGTCATTGCACAGATTGGTAAACAGTGATCATGGGAGGGTAAAATATATAAGTTGAGATGAATAACCACTAAATGGCTACTTTATGTGAACTTTTTCATTTGTTCCTCATGCAGCCAAATGCGATGAGTTCTATTCCAATTTTTGCTGACAGATGAGGACTCTGAGGCACTGAGGGGTTAAGGCCAGCTCCAGAGTGCACGCTCTCAGCTCAGCAGCTCTGACCTGCAGTTGCTATGCATCACCTTTATTTGAATTAGGAAATCAGGAATTTAGGAAATTAGCGAATTAGGAATTCACTGCAGGCCAGGAGCTGCAGTGAATGTTTCAGGCAGTGAGCACAGGCTGGATTCCAGCCCCACGAGCTCCCTCTGCTGGACACCTTCGTGCAGCAGCAACATGCACACGGCTTCTCTGTGGCCCTGCACAGACTGCCTGAGAATCAATAGTCTTTAATGTTTCCACTTCTGCAAGAAGCAATGAGGACAAAAAATGGCTCTGCTACCTGGGCCTAACCAATGAAAGTGTCATAAAACATGCCCTGTGTGCCCTCAGGGTAGGGCTTCAAGTCAGTTCAGGGCATGAGGCTTTAACTATGCTGAAAAGCCCAGTGGTTCTGGGCCCAGTGTTTCATAGAACTCCCTCTCCTCCCTCTGGCCCCCATCATCATCAAATGCAGGGTCATTTCTGGAGTAAGCTACCATCAAGCAGCTCTTGTCACCCAGGGCTGTGGGTGATGGGGGATGGGTCTCTAAAGAAAATGGTCCCTGTTCTGTTGGAATATTGTTCTTCTAGGCAAGAAACCCCAACTCCTTTGCCAAACCCTCCATGAAGGCAGGTGGAACAGAGAGGTGGAGGTGCTTGGGGGGACTTTTTAATAATGTCCCCAAAGTCTTAACTCTCTTGCAACAATATTCTGTTTCTCACAGAAAAAAAAATTAATGTTTTAGTTAGCTATTTCATTGCTGTGACTTAAAGACCCAACCAGAACAAATGTAAAGGGAGAAAAGTTTATTTAGGGGCTCACGGTTTCAGAGATCTCAATCCATAGAGGCAAACTCCATTCCTCGGGGCTCAAAGTGAGGGCTGAACATCATGAGGAAGAATGTAGCAGAGGGAAACAGCTCACATGATGATCAGAAAGCAAAGGGAGAGACTCCATTCACCAGATACAAATATATACCCCAAAGCCATGCCCCTCTCCTCCAGCCACACCCCATCTGCCTTCAGTTACCACTCAATTAATCCCAACAGGAGATTAATTCACTGACTGGGCTAAGGGTCTCACATTTCTCCTCTGAACCCTCTTGCTTTGTCTCACATGTGCACTGTTGGGGGACATCTCACATCCAAACCATAGCACAACAGAACAAGGACATAAAACACATTATCATTTGCTTGTGTTGCACTAAGAACCCAGAGTCTGGACACTCAGCAGTTTTTGGTCTGTGTTATGACTTTAGACTCATAACTGGAAAGGAAATGGAAGGGTCATTAACATCTTTCAACAGCATAAAGTTCACATGATGATTATAGTGATAAGGTTCTACAACCTGACTAGCTGTCCCTACCTTGGCTGTCTTCATCATTTTCTCTGAGGGATCCTCCTGGTTCTTCATGAGAGTCCAGTTCATCTCCACTTTCCTACAAAGAATTCAGAAGACAAGATGAATGCAAATATTCCTCTGGTCCATGCCCTTTGGTAAAAGGGAATTCAGTTTTTTTAGTTGTTTCTTCTTCTTTTTCTGCGGGTGCTAGGGTTGAAACCCCTGCCTAGAACCTGTGAGGCAAGGGCTGTACCACTGAGCCACACTCTGAGCCCTTTTCTCCTTCTTTTTCAACTTCTTTCAGCTTAAGTGTCCAGGAAGGCTGCTACTAGTGTGATTAGATTTAAAAGAACCAGGCAGACTTAGCAGTGGCACTAAGTACTCATGATCAGTTGTGCTTTTTCTTTACATTTTTTTTTTCTTTCTGGTACTGGGGATTGAATAAGGGTGTTCTACTACTGAGCTGCACATCTTCAGCTTTTTTTTTTTTCTTCTCATTTTTAAAATTTTGAGATAAGGTCTCACTAAATTGCTGAAGCTAGTCTCAAACGGGTGATTCTCCTGCTTCAGCTTCCTAAATTGCCGAGATGATAGGCATGGCCATGCCACTGCACCCGGCTGTACTTATCTTGAAGGGGTCTGGTTCCGTTCATCTGTGCACTGCTTGATGTGTGGCACATGTAGGAGAAGGAGAGATGAATGTCACAGGGCAAGGCCTGAAAAAAGAAGCAGGGCATCTCCAGCAATTGGCAGAGGACTAGACTGGCCAGAGCAGAGACTGAGAGAAGTGGGAATGGTGGAAAGGGTCAGAAGCCCAAGGCCTTGAAGGCAGGCTGAGGATTTTGTCCATTATTTTGAGAACAAATGGAAGGCATTGAGGATTAATAGCAGGGGAACCAAAGGGTCAGTATGGCCTTGTGTGGAGTCCCCAGGATCACCACAGTTCAATTTCTTAGTGCATTCTCTCCCCTTTTCCTCCTCCCCTCCTCCTTTTTTTGTGGTGCTGGGATTGAATTCAGAACCTTGTCCATGTTGGACAAGTGCTCTGCCACAGAGCTACACAAGCAGGCTCCCCTCTTTATTCTTTCTCTGAGTTACACCAGCTATTTGCAATCTCAACACCCCAAAATATCTAAAGCAGTGGTTCTCAACCCTGGCTGTACATTAGAATTATTTGAAGAGTTTTTAAAAAGTATAATTCCAGACAATAAAATCAGAATCTCTACAGCTGGTTTTTTTTTTTTTTTTTTTCCCTCTTTCCAGTATTGGAGATTAAACCCAGGGGTGTTCCACCACTGAGCTACATCCCTAGCCCTTTTTATTTATTTATTTGTTATTTTGAGACAGGGTCTTGCTAAGTTGCTCAGACTGGCCTGGAACTTGCAATTCTCCTGTCTCAGCCTCTTGAGTAGCTGGGATTACAGGTGTGTGTCACCAACTGACTGAGTTGGGGCACTTTTAAGGTTTCTGCTTGATGTGTCGCACATGGAGGAGAAGAACCACATGTTGCACACGTGGTTCCAACATGCAGCCAGAATCAAGAATTACTGATCTTCTCCAGAGGTTTAAAGGCAGCTCTTTAATAGTGGAAGAAACATGGCAGGTGGAGTTGGTGACTCAAGTAAAGCCCGATGTGTCTAATGAGGCCTGTAATTGGCCTTTGTCACCTGGGTTCCAGCTCCAGCCACAGCTTCATTTAGGCAATAGAGCTGGAATCTAATGTGCAGGGCCTTAACAATCCGCTGTCTTATTCTCACCCATTAGTGACAATCAGTTTCCTACTTTATCAAATACCAGCCTGCTTTGGGAAGAGACAACGGCTCATTCAGCACATTCTACAATTCCTTCCTGAGTTGCATCACTTACTGGCTTTTTATCATCTGTTTCTTACTTGTTAGTTGATAAGATATATTGACATAAAAAAAGGTAAAGCAGGTAAATAATTTTCTTTTGTTTGGGCTTCTCACTTTGGAGATAGGCAGATTTGTACTGGTACAATGAAAAAAAAATCCCTGAATAAATGGAAAGGTTTAAAAAAGTATAACAGGGAAAAAACAAAACAAAACAAAAAACAACAACAAAACCCTGCCTTAGTTGCAGTAAATGCCCTAATTAGAAGACCAGAAAAGAGATACATTTTTTAAGGGATCCCTGTGTAAAGCCTTTTAGTCTAACAGGAAATTGGATTGAAAGTCAAAGTGAGAAATAAGCTTCCTCTTTTGGAAGAATTTCAAAGCCAAGGATAAAACTTTCAGTCTTTTTTTTTTTTTTTTTTTTGTGGTACTGGGGATTGAACCAGGAGCATGTTACCACTGAGCTTCATCCCTAGCCTTCCCAACCTGCCCTCAGTAAGTTGCTAAGGGCCTCACTAAGGTGCTGAGTCTGGTCTCAAACTTGTGATCCTCCTGTCTCAACCTCCTGACACTACACTTGGCAAAACCTTCAGTCTTAACAAAATGTAGCTATGAGCCTGCAGGGCAAAGAATGTTCTCATTTCACAGATGGAGAGTTGGAGGCAGAGTCAGGGATTTGGAAAGCTCTTCAAGCAAATCCTTGTAAGGAAAAAAAAAAAAGTCTTAATATGAAATTCTGTCCATTTAATTGTATGTTGCTTAGAAAAGTGTCCAAAGAGCTATCTTTTTTAAAGATATGTGAACACACATATGAAATAATACCTAAGGTCATTCATTCATTGGGAAAGATTGGAAATAAATGTCCCATCAACTTGAGACTTTAAATAAATTATAGTAATTTGTACAATGGAAGACCATACAACCATTAAGAAGAACAGGTAGGGCTGGGGATGTGGCTCAAGCGGTAGTGTGCTCGCCTGGCATGCATGCGGCCTGGGTTCGATCCTCAGTACCACATACAAACAAAGATGTTATGCCCGCCGAAAACTAAAAAAAAAAAATAATATTAAAAAAATTTTCTCTTTCTCTCACATTCTCTCTAAAAAAAAAAAAAAAAAAAAAAAGAATAAGGTATCTCTTTTTGAATTAACACAGAGCTCCAAGAAATACTAAATGAAAAATAACAATTCTGAAAAATGTGTATAATATACTAAATTTTCACAAAATGTCTTTTTAAAATTGGTTCTTTTTAGTAATTTGCACAAAATTTCTATCTCCTATTTATATGTAATTCCTTATACATGCTTTCTACATCTCAGGGCACATAGGAAACTGGCAATAGAGACAGTCTACGGGAAGGGAAGTGGGCAGCTGGGAAACACCATATTATACTTGAAAAATTTAAAACTTTGTCAGTACATTTTATTTTATTTTTTGCAGCACTGGAGATTAAACCCAGGGTCCTCTATTACTGAGCTACATCCCTAGTTTTTATTTTGAGGCAGGGCCTCACTAAGTTGCCCAGGCTAGCCTCAAATTTGTAATCCTCCTGTGTCTGCCTCCCCAGTTCCTGGGATTATAAGCATGTGCCACCATGCCCAGGATATATTTAAAATTTAAATTAAAAATAAGCTAAATCTGGGGCTATTGTGGTGGCACATGCCTTTTGAATTTTTTTCCAGATTTTGAAATGTTTGCATATGTATTAGGAGATATCTTTGAGATGGGACTCAAGCCTAAAAATGAAATTCATTTGTTTCAGATATACCTTATACACATAACCTGAAGATAATTTTACACAATATTTTTAGTGCTACCTGTCATATAAGGTCAGTTGTGGCATCTTGTTGGTACTCAAAAGTTTCAGATTTTGGAGCATTTTGTTTCAGATTTTCAGGGTATTGATGCTTATCCTGTAGTACTTGATGAATAAGTAAAATAAACTGAAAGATTGCAAATTCATATCTCAGCTCTGTTATTCTGGCAAAATCATTAGTTCTCCCTTTATTCATTCAGCTTATGAACATTTATTGAATGTCTACTGTGTTTCAGGTACTGTGCTAGTAATGGAGGCACAGAGATGAAAGATCTATTTGTAAGAAGCTTACTGACTTGTGGGGAAATGATGAGAAATCTCACAGTTGCAATGCAGTGTGGTAAATGCTGTGACAGATTATAACAGGTTTCCACAAGACCTCACGGGAGGTGAAACTAAATTAGTTTAAGAAGTTTTGTTTACCAGTGGACATAGTGCTAAGTCTTGCAGTGAAGCGAAGATAGGGCGATTCCCAGGCAGAGGGAGTCGCCTGTGCTGGCTAGGGGTAGTCTGATATTATTGCAGTGTGTGGACAGTGTAAATTAGACACAGGCCAAAGCCAGATCTTGCATGGTGCAGTTTGGAGTTTTAGAAAAATTGCATTTGTTTTATGTTCCCTGTTATCTTGTAACAGGAATATATCTTGATACTGGGAATTTAACTGGAAGACCAGTCTTTACACAGTAAAGACTTTCAAGCAAACCAGTGATAAGAACTGAGCTGCTTTGGGAAAATGCAGCAGTATGGAAGAAATTATAGGTCTGGGGCAGGGAGAGAGGAGATTAACAAACTCTCTATAAACACAAAGGGTAATGCTGTAACCAGCACATGAGAGGCTCTTCCCAGACACTGGGGTGCAGATCCTGGAATCAGTCTGTTTGCCCTGAAGTCCTAACTCCTGCCCCTCATGTCTTACAGACCATGAGAGAGTTTCTTAACCTTGAGCCTCAGTTTCTTCTAACGGTTCTGCCCCTGGCCTTTGTGCCTGGCACCCCCTCTGAGCATAGTACTCCTAGACTCATGGCAGGTTTTCCTAGGGCACTGTTGGGAGGATGGGGAACATAGGATGCAGGAGAAAGAAGGGGCACTCCTCTCTGCCTCCCGTGACCTATATGACTTCTCATTGAACTGCAGTTTCTCTATCTGTGAAATGACAGTAGGAATGAATATTGTACAGAGTTCCTGAAAGGATTAACTAGGAAAATACATTTGGAAATTTTGTGTAATATGCCATGTGATACCCAAATGTCAATTACTATTTTCAATACTTTCTTAATGATGGGAGAAAAAGAGTATCTTATTTGAAAATTTCAATTTCAGGGTAGTCCAGTTTTTCTTGTGCACTTCATACTTCTCCTTAGTAAAGAAAACTGATGCAGGGGGTGTAGCTCAGTGATAAAACACTTGTCTAGTACATGTGAAGCCCTACTTCCATCCCCAGCACTGGAAGAAAAAAATCTCCAGGTGCAGTGGTGCTCACCTGTAATTCCTACTACCCAGGAGGCTGAGGCAAGAGGTTTGCAAATTTGAGGCCAGCCTGGGCAACTTAGCAAGATCCTATCTCAAAATAAAATAAGATAAAATAAAAAGGACTGGGATGTAGCTCCATGTAGAATGTCCCTGGGTTCAATCTCTAGTATAAAACAAAATACAACTGACTCAAGAAAATCACAAGGTGCCTTGTGTGATTATAATAAGTTTAAGATGTTTTTTCAAATCTCTGTTCCCTTCTCAGGTTCTGAGGCCAGAACAGGGATGTACAATTAAGCTGGTCATGGGAACAAAACAGGCAGAACTCTCAGTAAGGGGTACTGTGGACTTTATGGCCTTGAAACCCAGCTCCTGCTGCAGGCAGCCATGCCACTGATCATATCTGAGCCTCAGTTTCCTTATCTGCATAGGAGAGTTCTGCATACTTAGCAGGCATTGGGGAGTGGGGGTGGGGAGATTAAATAAGGCTTAATATATGAAAGACTTGGCCCTCAGCAGGGATCAGTGAATGTTGGTTCCTTTCTCTCTCACAAGGTTCGTCCTTTATAGATGTGAAAATTCTTTGAAAGCTATTATTTCATGTAATTCTCACTTCACCATTAAGAGGCAGGTGTGGAGTTCCCAGTATTACCATCTCCATTTTACAAAGAGGAAATGGGAGTCCCAGAGCATTTCAAGGTCACTCAGAGTCAGAGAAGACCCAGGGCTTCCCAACTACTAGCCTGACACCTTAATATTGATCATATTCCACTTTAATCCCAAGCTTCTTTCTTTTGAAAATTTAAGACTCGCTGTCCTGAATATTTTTTCCTGGAAATATTATTCGAATGTCGTGGAATCATTGAATCTTGAATCCGAGCTGTGATCCCTCTGCACTGTTCCTGCCAAGTGGTTAGCAAAGCATTTAAAGGACTCTGGGGACTGGAATTTATCTCCTAAGGTACCCTGCTCCATCTTTGGGCAGCATCTTAAGCCAAGCATTATTTTTCTGCTACTTTCAATCTTTGAAATTCATGTTGTTTCACCTCAATGTGACCACAAGATTCAGTGGCAGTCCTCCTCTACTTGGAGGGATGTCCCACCTCTGTGGGAGGGCTGCTCTGACCTCAGGCATGGCTGGCTCTTTTGCCTGCTTTGAGGCAGATCCTTCCACCTTGCACCAGAGGACACCATGCTCTCACTGTGATGGCGGTAGAGTGGAAGTTTATTTCTCATTCTTTGTATTTTTTGGACATAACATACATACATTTTCATGCTAATACGGAGTATAAGTATATTTGAATATATCCCTAGCATTCAGAGACATTATTGTCATTTTCTTTCTTACTGCAATGACCTAACCCTGACAATGTAAAATATCTATTCTAATTTATTAATCAAGTACCATTTCTTTTTGAAAAAGGATAGATTTAAATAGATTTTAAAAAATTAAACTTAGTTCAATTTTTATACAAACTCAGAGTTACTCAGAATTGATTGTATTTTCTCAGATTGAAGCCTGACAGAAACAGGTTATCAGCTATCTTTAGTGTTGTAAAGAGGTTCTTAACTAAGCGGAAGATTCCACGTGCAATAACAGAGAAATAAATGGGTCTCTGATAGCAACCCGAATCTGCCTCTGCCACAACATTATGCTGATATTGTCTGCTACATTGTTTATCCCCATCTTAGATTATAGGCTCCTGGAAGGTCAAGGGTGCAGATGATTCATCTCTGTGTCCTCAGGGCCTGCATAGTATCTGATACACAGAGGATGCTCATTGTAAGTTGTTTGAAGGAAACTAAATGAACACTGGGAGAGAAAGCTTTATATTTCCATAGAACTCAGGTAGTAATAGAGAAAAGGGCTGAGTCTTGCAGGATAAGAAAATCTTCCTATAGCAGACTGAATGCATGCACAGAGTGGAATTTTCTAGAAGGATTGTGATGGAAGCTTAGTTAATATGGCCGGCAGTGCTTTTGATTGGATAGGGCTCAGCTGGGGTGTTCCGCAAAGCTTTAGAGTAGATGATTGAGCACCGAGTTCTGAAGCTGGGCGGCCTGCCTGTGAATCTGTGTCTGCCATTTACCACCTGACATTCTGCAAGTTACTTAACTTCTCAGTACCTTATTTTTCTCATCTGTAAAAAAATAGGTACATTCTTACCTTCAGTTTGTGAATTAAATGAGTTCCTGCATATAAAACTTAGAACATAGCCTAATAGAATAAGTGCTCAGTAATGTTAGCAACTGTGATTATTTACATCTTTCCGTTTTCTTTTGCTGCCTCTGTCTTATCTCCTACCCTCATCTCTTTCTATAGGTATCAGGCAAAAATGAAAAAAATGCCCCAGGGGTGGGCAGGAAATACATGAATGAAATGCATAGGGTGGTTTGATTCCCATGCAGCTCCAGCCTGGGTGCTTTTCTTTGTTTAAATTAACCGTTCTTGTCTGTATAACTGTGAGATGGTGTCATTCTGTGATGCATTACTCAAGAATCCAGGAGCTACCTGTCAATAGGGAGAAGGCCTAGGTAGGGTAAGCTGTTAACACTCAACGTTCCCAAGAGAAGGTGTGGTTTTCTGGGCAAGGACTTGTCTGGGAGTAGGTGTTCTGTGAGTCCAGTGGAATTTCCATTCACTGAGTCTTGAGGAGGATGGACTAGAAAGTGGGATTGAAGGATGTTGCATTTTTCCTTCTTTAGGGCTGTGCCAAAATTGCAGAAGAAAAAAGTGTAACACAAAAGCTTTGAGAACACCGAATATACAAAAAAAATTATTGTAAAGTTTCCCACTCTGAATACTTTGCTTATTTGCTAATAACAGAAATTATTTGCTAATAATAATTTGTTGCCTACACTAGTATGGAACAGGGTAGGATCTTGTTCTTCCCAGCCCCTGTGTTTTTGATTTTTGTTTTGTGGTGCTGAGGATGGACACCAGGGGCCTCACACATGCTGGTCATGTGCTCTACCATTGAGCCTCTACCCCAGCCTATCCTGGTCTGTTTTGTTCACAGATGTATCGGATGTTCAGAAAGTGCAAGACATTTAGCAGGTAACCGGTGCTAAAATATTGGTTAAATGAATAAATAGCAATAATGATGATGATATCACATCCTAGAAACTACTAACCATGGTTTTTCAAGTCCTAAGGGAAGAACTAAGTCATTATTAAGAATAAACAGGATAGTTTTACTAATATAAATAATAGTGCATGTCAACATTTTTTTTTTGAATTCTTATAGCAAATATCTTTTTGTTTTGCTGCCCAGAATCATTTTCCCTCCTTATATTTTTGTTTGTGATGTTGATTGAACCCAGAGTCTTGCACATGTTAGGCAAGCGCTCCACCACTGAGCTCTACTCCCAGCTCTCTTGTAGTTTAAAGCACCCGGCGAGACACCCTTCTTTTCTCTCTTTCTAGTCCTTGTGGCTCCAGGCTAGGCTGATGGCATTTCATCTGGGCATGTCACTAAAGACAGTTTCACATTCGGTTCTGGAATAATCTGGGCAGGAGAAACCAGTGGCCATTTTACCACCGCTGGGAAAAGCCTAAGAGGAAACCCAGGAAAATGTAGTCACAGACAGAGACAGATTTGGGTCAAATGCCTGACTCTTAATCTAAGCCCCACCTTGCAGAACTGGGCTTAGGGCAGCTCAGAGAGGTGTCATCTGAGAACTCTGAATTGGTTGAGGGTGAGAAGGTGACGCTCATGATCTCCAAAGTCCTTGGACCAGTCTACATAGCACTAGGGGTGCCATCATTATGAACATTACAAGTGTCTCTTCTCTTTTCCCCTGTCTTTCTGAATCACTTCCTATCAAGGGCCTGGAATGGTGTCCCCTAAGGTAGTATGAGGGACCTGAGATCCTTCCATGCCAGACATGGCTTGGTTCCTGGTTAATTTCTTGGACTCCATGGTCATATATTTCCAGTTCAGTAAACTCTAAGGAGGCAAAAAATGGGTAGGAAGGGCCCTAAACAAAAGGGCTTGTGAGGGAAAGGGTGGGCCAATTCCTGGAGCACTTGGTGAGCACCTTCCACGTGCCTAGGGATGCTAGGGTGGGAGGAAGTACCGCAAAGATAGACAAATGACATCCTCACTGCAAGAACTCTCTGTGGCCTTAACTAGAAACAAAGCTGAGCTTGGGAGATCAATGAGCTCTTATAAGAGAACAGGAAACAAGGCAGATATCCAAAAGAGAATCTGCAGTTGACTTCTGACTAGTTAACTCAAGAATCAGTCTTCTTCACAGTAGGAGTATCAACTCTACCAAGTTACAGTGATAAACAGTAGCAATTACGTTAGCTACTGTCAAGATAAAATGAATTATATTTGCCCATTTTATCAGGTGGTTCAAAGTTTTCCTTTTTCTTCTCTGTTCCCTGTCCCCACCACCCAAACTAGACACCCAACTGATTTGTTCCCGATGGCTGGCTGTGATTACTGTCCTAATTTGTTCTTTCCTCATCTGCTACAAACTGCGTATTTTCTGTCCCTTCTGATAAATCAGGAGCACGGAGGGACTTCTGAAGCTGTTTTTGTACCATGCAGAAGTGTATTAACTGGAATTCCTGTGTATGTGTCTATAAAACCCCTCGTCTTCTCAGTGTGAGATCACCTTCAGGAACGGCGTCATGTCGATGTGCAGCTTGCGTGTGTAAAATTCTTTTCCGTTTGAACAAATCAGCCCTTTATTTATACAACTTTGAGGTTCTCCCGTCTTCTGAGCTGCTGCCTCCAAGGACTGCGGGTCTCCCTGGGAGAGAAACAGAAAGCCCAGCTTTCATAGGCATGACACACAGAGCAACAAGAGCTAGTCCAAATCCCCCAATATTTATAAAAAGCAATGTTTTCATCATGGAACACTAATAATAACACCTATTTTTACCATGGAAGACACAGGGGACCCAAATGTGCAGAGAATAACTCAAGACTGGTTAATAATTAGTACCAGGGAAGTGGAAAACGGACCTTCCCAAGGTTGTAATTATTTCATTTAATTCTCTGGACAACCCTGTGAGGCAAGTATGGTACCCCCATTTCACAGATGAGGAAGGGAAGCTTCAGGAGTGTAAGCAACTTGTTCAAAGCCATCCAGCTGGCATACAGCCGACCTAAAATCACTGCCCAAGACTCCTTTTTAAATTAGATCGTTTTGTTACTTTTATAGTTTCAAATAGCTAGGAATGGTTACTAAATCTGCCTTGCAACAAATAAGGTTACAGCAAGATTCCAATTTATTTCCAAGCTGAAATGTATTCAGTGTGTTAGGAAGAGTGATTGGAACAAAAGTGGCTGAGAGGGAAGGAAGAATGGGCTAAGAGAGGAGGCCCAGTGTGGGGTGGGGTCTGTCTCTTCTGCCGTCACCACAATGTGCAAACGATGTCACATTTCTTTCTTTAATACTTATTTTTTAGTTGTAGTTGGACACAATATCTTTATTTTATTTGTTTATTTTTATGTGGTGCTGAGAATTGAACCCAGGGCCTTGCACATGCTAGGCGAGCACTCTACCACTGAGCCACAACCTCAGCCCCAAATGATGTCACATATCAAGTACCAAAAAGCTTGACCTGAAATTGCCTTCCAGCCTGTGCCCTGCACTACAACCTGAGTGATCTTTTCAAAAGGCAAACTGCCCACATTACCCCTCTGCTTAAAACCTTTAAAGGCCATTGGCCTCATGGTGAAGGCCAACAGGCTTAAAAGGTTTAAGTTTCCTGCCCGGCCCTGGACTATCTCTCTGGCCTTGTTCATTCATTCAAGGAATATTTATTGGGTGCCTTTGCTATGGCAGAAAGAGTGAATCCAGCAGTGGAAGTCTGTACCCCCATGAAGAGTGCACCTCCATTGCACAGAAAAGAAAGAGAGAACAGAGAAGGAGAGGAACATAAGTTATGTCTGAAGGTTATTTGTGATATAGAAAAAAGAAATACAAAGGTGTTGAGGGGCAGATGGGGATGGATGTGGAGACCTCAGTGTTAACCCATCGGGTCCCATCTTCTATATATAGGTCACCTATAAAAACCTATAACATTTTATAGGACACCTACAAAATTGCTCAATTTAAGTTTTTATAGGTGCCCTATATATAGGACAGTGGGACATAGTGGGTTAAGCAGGAGAGTTGAGGAACGCCCCACCAGAAAGTGAGGTTTGGCAAGGCCCTGAAGCAGGTGGGAGAAGGTGTGTGTGGCTCTCTGTGAGAAGTGTTGACCTTACTGTGGAAACAGCAAGTACAAAGGGCCACCACCCACACTGGCCTTTCAGTTCCTGGAGCAAGACATTCACTTGCCCTTCCCTCTCCTGGGAACACTCTTCCTCCCTTTCATGACCCCTCAGCCTTCAGGTATGGCTCATCTGTGCCCTCCTGGGGCCACTCTGTCCCCATTGCCCATAGTGATGCTGAGACTATGCAATGCTCCTCCCCAAGAGATGACAGAAGTGATAAGGGAAGCAATGACATAAGCTTCACCAGCGCAGGGACCACAGCTATCTTGTTCCTGTTGTCACAGCTGTGCCTGGCTCAGGGCTTGGAAATGAACATACAGTTGCTATCTACCTGCCGAACTGATGGGTATTGGACACAGGAGTGAAGGGCGCCAGAGGCAATCTGCAGCTAGGGCCTGCCTCAGTTCAGAGGAGGAGGGGGCAACAGCACGGCTCCACAGGGAGTAGGTGCTGACCTCTGGAGGCCTGACCTCTGCACGTGGCACTGGCTGCCCATTCCCAAGGAGGAAAGTTATTTGTTAGTTTTGGGGGCTGATTTGCTGGAACCATATACATTAGTGTGCTATGAGATCACCCTGGGTGTGGATTTGATCATTTCCATATTTTCTAGGAGACAAACTCTAAGATGTCAGTCTCTCTGGGCAGTCATAAACTCTCCCTCCCATAACAAGTATTCATGAGGCATGAACAGTTGGTGGGTCCCCACAAGTGGCCATCATTCCAATGAACACCCACACCCTTTTCCTTTGTTTTGAAATGTGGCTTGAGATAAAGATTTTCCTGGACAAATACCTATCCAATTTCTTGTCATCTCAGCCATATTATATCTGATTAGTTTCTCAGGGTGAGACGGCTCCTCCCCTTTTCCAGATCAAATGAGAGCTTTTGGTTCAAGCACAAATCATACAAAGCATTTCAAGCTTTCACGCCTCCACAATCTTGCATGAATCACTGGATGGAATAATAGAAATCAGAAAGTACTGATTTGAGGGGAATGTCTCCATTATCTCTAAAGATTTTGTGTTAGACAAAAGACATAGCCAAGACCAGTTCCAATGGCTGGGATTACTTTCACTCCTTATGTGGGACTCAGATTCAAGATTGGAGACTGCAAGTGCTTTCAAGAAGGTCCCTCCCAGCCACTTGACCTGTAAATCTTTTTTTCTAACAATTCTCTGGACTGTATGGCTCATCTCCCTAATGTTTAGGGGCCATCAATTCTAGCCTGACGGAATGTTTCAGTGAAGGTTCTGTAACCCCTGGAATGTGTAGTAATGCCTTTGCCTACCGTGTGCAAGTGTTCTAGCAAATCAATGATAGTGAGAGGGAGTTTGGGACATGGGAGGAAAGAAAAGATTGAACACATAAAGAGGATTCTGGAAGGTAAAGATAGGAGGAGAAAAATGTCAGACAGTTGAAACCAGGAAAGCAAGTCATGTGCTTGAGTTGTTTTTCATTTATTCATTAAATTGAAACTTTTGGAGTGTTACCATGTGTCAGACAAATGAGCACATAATGAGATGATTTGAGGTGGTGACTCATCTATGAAGACAATGCAAGGGTAGTAGGATGGAAGGTGATGGGGAAGCGCTGGCCACTTGCCTTGAGTTGGTTAGGGAAGACCTCTCTGAGGAGGTAGCATTGGAGCCAAGAGCTGGATGGCGAGAAGTAGCCAGCGCTGGATGGATCTATCTTTAGCAGTCAGAGTAGTCTGTAGCTCTGTGGTCTGAATATTTGGAGGCTAAACTCAGGCAGGGGGTTCTTTCGAAAGGAAAGCTGAGCGTTCCTGATTTCTAGGCCTGCTCTGCCCCAGCCTCCTAGGCTCTATGTATCCTGTTTTCTCAGGGGTAGAGCCTTTGAACACTTCCAGCTCTTGGGTATGTTGAGAGCAAAGAGAACAAAATAAAGAATAATCACAGCCGTAGGGAGAAGAAAACACAAGGCTAGTTGGGTGCAGTGGCCTGGTATCTAAGCAGCTTGGGAGGCTGAGGAAAGATTGTGATTCAAGAGCCATTGAATTCAAGAGCTAATCTTATACTCGGACAGAGTGAGCTGTGGAAAATCCATGGATCACAAGTTCAAAGCCAGCCTCAGCAAAAGTGAGGCACTAAGCAACTCAGTGAGACCCTGTCTCTAAATAAAATACAAAAAGGGCTGGGGATGTGGCTCAGTGGTTAAGTGCCCTGGGTTCAATCCCTGGTAACAACCCCTCCACAATACTGCACCCCTCCCCCCCCAAAAAAAAACCCACAAGGCTAAGTGGAAGGGAAGGAAAATGGGGGACTGGAAGAAAGCAGAGAAACCTCAAGCTGTTTTTGTTTACTTCATGTGCACACTTTGGTGGAATGATTTAAAAACTGATGGAAAGGTGAAATGTTTACCAGAAAATCAAAACCCAGCTCTTTACATATATTGTACTGTAAATAATATTTTATGGTCTCCTAAAAACACCTGGAAGCCTTTCTCTTTAGTAAGTGAAACAATAAAGATTAACTAGTTAATTTGGTAAAGCTGATTTGAATTGCACAGAAGGCATTGAGTAATACTTGGCATTTAAAAAGTTATCTGACATTTAAAAGGAGATGACTGCTAATGAATTCAAGAGCTAATCTTATACTCTGACAGAGTGAGCCATGGAAAATCCAGGATTATTATCTTGCTGTAAACATAATGTGATTCAATTGAGCTATCAAAAAAGGGAGCTATTGCTGTAAACAAATATCCATAGGCACACATATTTACCACAACTTAAAGGGAATGGCCATTAAAATTAAGTAAATTCTTGTCATTTCTTTTCTTTACTCGTGGACTGTAATACCTGAGTTGAAGACCCAAGGGAAAAAAGCCTTCTTCCCAGTAATTTTTTCTCCTCCTTTCAGTTGGTATTTTAAAGAGTCATTATCAGGAGTTGGTTCTACAAACAGACCTCTGATGTCTAATGTAATCCCAGCTACTTGGGAGGCTGAGGCGAGAGGACTGCAAATTCTCCGTCAGCCTTGGTGATTTAGCGAGATTTAACAAGATTTGGCAAGATCTTGTTTCCAAACAAAGGGTTGAGGATGTAGCTCAGTGCTTGCCTAGGATGTGGGACGACCTGGGTTCAAACCCTAGAAGAGGGGCGTGGGAGCAAGGAGAAAGAGAAGGGGAGATTCTGAACCCGAGCTGTCACATCCCCACCCATGGGTCTCACAGTGTAACCAAAGATAAGGATCTGTCCTGTAGGCGTCCCTCAGGCCTTCCTCCCACGACATCTCCCACTCTTTTCTAATTGGGGTTCCCCACCTTTGTAGCTGCCGCTCAATGGCTCCAAGAAGAGCTATTGTCCCTCATTAAGGAGGCTGCAACACTCTGGCTGTCTAACTGCCTCCCACGCAGCTCACAACTTCATTCTGCCTGAGAGGGAGCTGCCAAGAGTCTCTGGGAACCTGTGGGCAAGCTGAGCTGAAGGAAGAAAACAGGAGGAGGAGGGCCTTTGTAGCCAAGATCTGAAATGCACGGGGAACACACCCCACCATTATCTTAAAG